AAACTACACATCGCCATCTAACTTAATAAACAGCCTTAACCCCTTCTAAAGGATGTTTATATTGATTAATTAGTGCACATAACAAATATAATAAAGCAGTGTTCTCTTTATTATAGTAAAGCTACAGTAATACAGTAACTTTCCTCTACAATTACAATAAACATAAGCCATTATTACACCACAGAAACATGAAAGTGCAGGGAAACTTTATTATCTCAAAGTTCGTATCATGATGCGTATGGCATTTTAATAAATGTTTCTTTGTAATAACTGTTTTTCTTCCAGTACGGGCACTGATTGAGCTTTTTTTTTGGGCGGGGAGGGGATCATCCAGTCAGTGCTTTTTTTTTCTTTCGGGATACTCCCCACCAGCAAATTCCTTGTATTGGATCTACCTATCCCTGCCATTTTATTTCCCGCTGTATTCTCTTTATATCTATATCATGAGTAGGGCGAAGGGAAAGTACTTAATTTCCGACTCCCGCTTTTAAACTACCAAACTCCAACAACAGTATGATACCTTCTAATATTTAGAAGTAAAAAACCCTCACAATAACAACAGTAACCAACAGGTACTAGCTACAGATATACATTTGTAAAATGGTAGGTTACTGACTAACAATAAACAGAACATCATAATTTTTAAAGTTAAAATTCCCCAAACTGCAAAATAGTTGATAGCTTACAAAAGTAAAAGTATCATATAATAAAAAATACTTTAGAAGTTGTAGAAGACACTAAACAATAATTTCTAGCTTTGGTCACAAAATGTGTACCCTGAACAGTCTCAAACACTAAAAAATACCACCTAGTTTCAGGAATAAGAGGCCTTGAATAAAATATAAGATGATATTAAATTTAAAATGTTTTAGATAAGATCTACTTAAAATATCTCTCTTTACACTGTACTATATTCTATACTAGCTAGAGTACCCTCCCCTTGATGGAATTTATGTAAATTCATGATTAATGACAGGTTATTTTAGAACATAAAAAGTTACTTTCCTTATATATAACTGTGAAAAAAATGCAAAAATGACCATAAAAACTGCAAAACGGAAAATTTGTATGCATCTTCCCATGAATTCAATGAACCTCCATACAAATTTTGGTGAAGATCCATCCACAACCTGCGAAGTAGTTACATGGACAAACAACATATAGTACTATTATATTTATATAAAAGCAGTTCATATTTCCATGGATCATAAAGAAAAAAAGAAAACATTCTTCACTTCCTGTTATATGCAACAGAATGCAAACCATGGACCCTCAGGTTCACAGTCCAGCATGCTTCATTGATATCATTTTCCTACATTTTTTAAAACTCTTGTAAATATAATAACATACATATTTGGCTCACAAAAGCACTCCGAGGTAGTAAACATCACCAAACTTTTATTATGCATGAAGATGCATCCATTATGTCACATATGAAGAGAGAGAAATAAAAGTCATTGTTTGATGATACAATGAATTTTATAAAATGTATTACTTGTAGGCAGTGGAATAATAAGTTAATTATACTATGAGCTAGAATTTGGATTGTTCTATGAAAATAAAGCTTCAACCATGAACATGCAGGTTATTCTGCAATAAGTTTATCTCTCCAAAACAGGACTTTTAATAAGAACAATCACATGTATGCAGTGATTCACATGTCCAAATACATTTGCACGTGCAAATTGTAAAGGTGCTTAAAGTGATGCATCATAACAGGAAAATAACAAGAAAATATTTACTGTTTAATGATAGAAATATTTTTATTATATTAGCAGAGTTACTGATTTTATCAAAACAATATCTTATAATATCTGATTTCCCATAACCTTGAAATGTTTACAATTTGATTTAATTGTCTTTAGCTGCCATCTTCTCTGTTTGCTTCACAACTGATTACAATGCTATTAAACGCATTTTTGTAGATAACTTTTTTGCTTTCCTTCAGTAAGTATTTAAAATTATATTGCAACCTGTG